CCAGCTACTCGGAAGGCTGAGGCAGAAGGATCGCCGGAGGCCAGCAGGTCGAGGCTGCTGTGGCTGGGAACGGCCAATGCACTCCAGACTGGGCGACAGAGACTCCAACTCAAAACAAAAAGAATGTGTCTGTACATACAGTGACATTCTGAGGTACTGGGGGTTGGGACTTCAACCTAGAAGGGTACACAGTTCAGCCCATAACACTATTGGATGGATATTCCACAATATATTTATCCATTCACCAGCTGATGAACATTTAAGTTAACAGGTTTTGGCTATTACAAACAAAGCTGCTATAGCTGAGTACAAGTGTGGCCATGTGTTTTAAACTCTCTTGAATAAATAGCTAGGTGTAAATTTGCTAAGTCATAGTTGTATGTTTAATTATCAATTTTATTTATCTTTTCAAAGAACTATCATTTGGTTTCATTGATTTTCTTTTTGTTTTGTTTTGTTTTCTGGTTCATAGATTTCTGATCTTTACCATCTCCTTCATTTACCTTGGTTTCTTAAGATTGAGACTTAGATATTGATTTGACACATTTTTCTTTTATCATATATTATTCAATGTGGTAAATTTCTCTCTAAGCACTGCCTTACCTATATCCTACAACCTCTGTTATGTTGTATTTTCATTTTTATTCAGTTTTAAATTGTTTCTAATTTAACTTGTGATTTCCTCTCCAGTCATGTGTTATTTCAGAATATATTGTTTAATTTCCAAATACTTAGGGCATTTTCCAAGTAGCTTTTTATTATTGATTACTAACTTAATTCTATTGTAGTCAGAGAATGAACTTTGTATGATTTCAGTTCTTCCAAATTTACTAAAAATTAATTTCCCACTGTGGTTTATCTTGGTAAATGTTCCATGTGTACTTGAAAACAATGTGTATTCTGTTTTTGCTGATAGAGTGTTTTGCATATATCAGATATGTCAAGTTGAATTATAATGTTATTTCATTGTTCTATCAGTTTTTGCTTTATGTATTTTGAAGTTCTGTTAGTAGGTACATTTATATTTAGGATTTTTATGAGCTCTTAATTAACTACTATATCATTATATAATGTCTCTCTTTATATCTGATAATAGTCCTCTCTCTGAAATCTACTTTGCTGTTAATATAGCCACTTCAGCTTTCTTTTAATTAGAGTATGCAGGGTGTATCTTTTTCTGTCCTTTCCCTTTTAACCTGTCTTTGTCTTTGTATTTAAAGTGTTTCTCTGTAGTTGGCATATAGCTGAGTCTCACTTTTTAAATTCAGTTTGATAATCTCCAACTTTTTTTTTTTATAGAAATAGAATGTTGCCCAAGCTGGTCTCAAACTCCTGGGTTCAAGTATTCCTCCCACCTTGGCCTCCCAAAGTGCTGGGATTACATGCCCAGCAAATCTCTACCTTTTAATTGAACTAGATTAGACCATTCACATTTAGTGTAATCCCATTCACATTTAGTGTAATATGGTTGGACATATATCTGCCATTTTGCTATTTGTTTTCTGTGTCTTTTTTATTTCTGGATTCTTTCCTTAATGTCTTCTTTGAGTTAAACAAATATTATTCTAGTATGCTCTTAATTCCTGTGATTTCATTAACTTTTTTTCCTTTTAGTTATTTGATTGGATGCTGGACATTGTGAATTTTACTTTTAGGTGTGTTTTTAGAATTCTTTAAATGTTCCTGGGATTTTCCTGAGATGCAGTGGAATTACTTGGCATCAGTTAGATCCTTTTAAGGATCAAAGCAAGTCTGGGATGGAGTAGTAGTCAGGATGCCAGAGGCCACAGGGAAGCATGAGGCAGGAAGGATTGGAATGCCGTCAGGAGAGGACTCTAGGTGGTCTCTCTTGGTCTCTTGGGGTTCCTTGGGGCACAGAAGTTTCCTTCCTTAGACTGCAATAATGTTTTCTAACCTAGGGTTGGATCCTTTTGTAGTAGTGAGGTTTTTTTGTTGTTTGTTTTGTTTTTGTTTTTTGAATGGAGTCTCACTCTGTTGCTTAAGCTGGAGTACAGTGGTATGCTCACAGCTACCACAGCCTTGACTTGCTGGGCTCAAACAATCCTGCCTCAGCCTTCCAAGTAGCTGGAACTATAGGCATGCACCACCATGCCTGGCTAATTTCTAAATTTATTGTAGAGACAAGGTCTCCTCCAGTTGTCTAGGCTGGTTTTGAACTTCTGGGCTCAGGCAAACCTCTCTCCTCCACCTCCCAAAGTGCTGTGATTACAGGTGTGAGCCACTGTGCCTAGCAGTAGTGAGTTTTGAATAGAGTTCCTGAGTTCTTTGTACTATTCTTTCAAGTTTGTAAGCTTGAAATTCTTGACCCAGGAAAGCATGTCATCTCACCCAGACTGTAGGGCATAGTGCAGCAGCCATGTGCAGCCCCCCACAAACTGCCGGGGCCCAGTGTTGTCCATTCAGATTTGCTCTCCCAGTCTAGAAGGCGGGAGAGTGTACATGCCAATTCCCAGCCCCCTCCCTGCCCCTGCTTGCCTACTAAGCATGGTCAGTGTCTAAAGTACAACATTCTGTGCTTAGGAGATCACTTAAAGTTAACTCTTTACTCATAAGGTCCTTAATCTGTGGCTCCCTTGGAACTGTGGACACAGAACCAGGCCTGTCCTGGGTAAATAAGAACATGCATGTCATTTCAGGAATCAGTGACTTTCAAGGATGTGGCTGTGGACTTCACCCAGGAGGAATGGGGTCAGCTGGACTCCCCTCAGAGAGCCCTGTACCGGGATGTGATGTTGGAAAACTACCAGAACCTTCTTGCCCTTGGTAAGGCAATTCCCCTGAGGCTGAGCATTTTTTCTCAGCCTTCCTCTACATGGTCGATCTTACAGAGGAGCCCTTAGCACCAGCCCTGGGGCCAGACGTATTATGACATGAGAGACACTGCCTCTGTCCCAGGGCACTCACAGTCAGGGACCTCAGTCATGCCAGAAGTCCCCAGGAGGCAGTGTGATAGTTGGTGGCATGCCTGCTTAGAGTTGTTCCTGGTCCCAGGGTCGGGGTCTGGGGAGAGGGAAATGGGACCCAGGGGTCCTTGGAGCCCAGCCTGGCCTGGAGCTGTCCTCAAGCAGAAAAGGGAGAGTGTTGGCACATGGGGGTCTGCATGCACTGCAGTTTAGGTACCATGACTGAAACTTTTCACCACTGTTGGGTCCAAGAGGCTTCCTATTCCTGGGGACAGTGACGTCACATGCCTTGTCACTGTTCATGGGGCATCCTGTAAGGTTGGCTGAGCCTGGAGAACTGCAGCATGCCTAGCCCTTGCTTTCTCCCCACAAGCAGGGCCTCCAGTCCATAAGCCAGATGTGATCTTCTATCTGGAACGAGGTGAGGAGCCATGGTACGTGCAGAGGGAAGTCCCTGGAGGGCCTTGTCCAGGTGAGCAGACAACACAGGTGCTGGCCCCCGCCCCGGAACCCTCTCCTCACTTTCTCCTATGGCTCCTACTTTCCTTCGGCAGTCCCAGTGCCCTGGCTCCATCTGTGCCTCCTCAGGGCCTCTGCCAGACCCTCCCTTCACCCTTCCTTCAGCACATATTGAGCACTGACTGTATACTGGAAATACAACAGTGAACAAAACCAGCCAAAATGTCTGCCTGCTTCTGAGGGTCGGGAGACAGGAATCATACCTGCATGTGTGTAAATTGTTAACAAGCAGTATTGCTGGGGGGCGGAGGTGTATATGGGATTAGGGTCAGGGCTTGTTCTCTGAACAGAGAGATGGGGAGAAGTGAGGAGAGGAGGGAGGCAACCTCAGTCAGAGTCAGTGTCAGTGAGGGCCCACTGGGCCCTGGTAAAGATGCTGGTCCTCCCCATGGGAGAGGGGGCCAGGACAGGTCCCTAGTGGAACATGGAACGTGGTCTCAGTTTTTCTCTTCCAACATTTTCCCCCACAGATTTCTGAGTTGCTTAATAAGTGAACCCACTCATTTCAACTGAATGTAGTGGACAATGACTACTGAGCATGTTAGACATCTGGAAAGCTTGAGAAACTTACCATTTGTAGGAAAGGCAGCCAGCAAGCAGTTAAACTCAGAGCCATGGGACACACATGTGAGGGCTGGGAGGCGTGGAGGTACAGGTGGGGAGGCGGCCCCTCCTTTCTCTCACACACACACCCCAGCCCTCAGCCTGCAATGGAAACACAGCCCCAGCTTGTGCTGCTCTCTTCATCCTCTTTGCCCAAATTACAGGTTTTTAAAAAACTAATATTTTTGTTTGATTAATACATGTTTATACTGAAGATAACAGAGAAGCATTGAAGTCCCCCATCATCGTCTGCCCAGAACCAATCCATTTCCTTTTGCTGCACTTCATCTCTACTGCCCTGTGTATGGACAGGCATGTTTGAAGAGCCACGCATCCTGACTTCATAGCATGCACACTGTAGTCCCACCTTCTACACAGGCCATGACATGTACAATATCTCGTTAGATGGACATGCCCTGTCATTTCATCAGCCTGTTGCTGCCAAAACCACTTTTTTCTGGCCTTGGCCCCTTCTTTGTGCACCTTCCAGAGACTCACCACCCCATGGTGTCATCTGTACTGTACTGACATGGCTGTCATCTTCTGAGCTGCAGCTTGTGTCGCTAACCATTATGTGGGCCTTTGCCACATGTTTGAAACTAGACTCAGAACTAAGTGGCCCTTCTTTTCCTCTTCCCATCCCTGTCTTTGTAAAAGCTTCTACTATCCACCCAGACCTGGCTGGCTGTTGAGGTCTCGCCCTCTCTTCTGCTCTCCTGTCACCTTCTATCAACAGCAAAGGAGGACCACCAGTGACAGCTCCTAAATATTTCTCAAATGTGCCACTTTCTCTTCATTCTCACAGCCATGGTGCTAATCTGAGGTTGCCATTTTTCACCCGGATTATTCAGATGGCCTCCCTAGCTGGTCTCCTGCTAACCAGCTCACTCCATCTCCTTACATGGTACCACAGCCATCTTTAAGTGACACCATTAGGCTTATGTTTCCCCCTGTGTACCAGGCCTTCCTTCCCCACTGTACTCTGAGTCAGGTGCCTCGGGGCCCAACACCTGTCCACCTTGCCAGAGCCCCCTCTCGGCCTTCTCCCTCCATGTGGCTCATCCTGAACTTCTGCACATGCTGTTCCCTCTCTGTCTGGCTATCTACCATCATTTCTGCCAGGGCCATTCCACATGTGTGGTCCCTCTGGATGGGCCAGGGCCCCATGCAGTGCCACAGGTACAGCTTTGTCCACCACACTAGACTGCTCTCTTTGAAGCTTGGGATAGATAGAAATAAAATCTCCTGTCAGCCTAGAGAAATCTCTCTGCAGAAGTAGAAGAGAAAGAAAATCTTCTGGCTGGGTGCAGTGGCTCACACCTATAATCCCAGCACTTTGAGAGGCCGAGGTGAGAGGATTGCCTGAGCCCACAGGTTCAAGATCAGCGTGGGCAACTTGACGAGACCTCATCTCTACAATAAATCAAAAATTTAGCTGGATGTGGTAGCATGTGCCTGTAGTTCCAGCTACTTAGAAGGCTGAGGTGGAAGGATTGCCTGAGCCCAGCAGGTCGAGGCTGCAGTGGCCATGAGCTTGCCACTGCACTCCAGCCCGGACAACAGAGTGAGACTCCGACTCAAAAAAAAAAAGCACCTTCTTATTGAAGAAGGATTTAACCAGCTAAGATGCACAGTACAGAAAGAAACCTTCCCTTCACAGAGCCAGGCAGTTCCAACCCCACACAGAGCAGCTGGTTCCGTCCAAAGGAAAATGCAACTTCTTGTATCTTATTGAGAAGCAAGAAGTTGCACCTAGGGCTAGACACCCACAGGGACAGACAGAAGGGATGTGTCCTCCTCCTGCCCACTCTCATTTCTTGGGTGCCAAGGACACAAAGCAGGAGGCTCGGCTCTCACTTCACATCGGAAAAGATGTGCTTGCATCTCAAGACAGAAAGCATGTGTGGTTCCCAGTGTTCCAAGAGGAATGTACAGGGCTGTGGGGGTTGGAAGATCCTTTTTTCCTTTTTGGCTGGGGGAACATTTTAATTTATCTTTGTAGATGTGTATTCACCTGTGTGTAAGCCCAGCACTTGACATGGAGTTCACAAACAACAGGCAGTCAGTCGATGTTTTCATGAACCACTCAAGTCCTGATCACTGACTCTGTGAGCTCTGGCCCTCTTGGTGTCTTTCTGAGATTCCCTTAGCTTCTCACCTCTCCAGGTCTTTCTGCTCCAGCAGCTCCTCCCATTCCCTCTTCCCTTCTGTGGCTCACACACCTCATGCTGGACTCTCCTTTGCCTCTGCCTTCATATCTACTCTTTGGCTCTACTGGTTTTTGGCTCTGTGGTTTTTATTCTTGTCTAGACTAATCCTCACACCTAGTTGACTCTCAAATCTGAATTCCAGGGCCATGCTTTCACCTGCTTACAGAAAATTCCATTTTCCATTTCTTGCAGAATGGGAACCTAGGCCTGAGATAAAGGAAGAGTTATCCCAGCAACAGGATATTTGTAAAAAAGAACCATTCCCAGAGCTGATTATGGAGCGGCTGACGAGACCCAGCCTTCATGACAGCAGCCTAGGCAGGGCATGGGCCTGGGAGGACCAGGTAGATGCTCTCCAGATGAGCCTGGCAGCACCCTGGAAGCAAGAGCCTACCACCCCTGGGGACATCCCCATGGAGGAGAGTTGTTGGGGACCCAGCGAGTCTGAGGAAAGTTTCCCTCTTAAGTGCGCCCTGTTTGCCCCACAAGGCATTCCCATGGGAGGACACTCTCTGCACCCTTGCGTGGAGGACGTTCAGTCTGTGAAGGGTAGAGCCAAAGCCTCCCCAAGCCTGTGTGCAGGGGAAACCTCTCTCAGGTCAGGGGAGCATGGGAAGTTCCCCCACGCACAAGTGGATACTGGGGAGGGCCTGTTTGTGTGTGGTGAGTGTGGGAAGGCCTTCCCCCAGAGCACTTCCCTCACATTGCATCGGCGCTGGCACAGCCGGGAGAAGGCCTACAAGTGCACCGAGTGCGGCAAGGCCTTCACCTGGAGCACCAACCTACTGGAGCACCGGCGCATTCACACAGGTGAGAAGCCCTTCTTCTGTGGCGAATGCGGCAAGGCCTTCAGTTGCCACTCATCCCTCAACGTGCACCACCGGCTCCACACAGGCGAACGGCCCTACAAATGCAGCGTCTGTGACAAGGCCTTCAGCTGCAGCTCACTGCTCAACATGCACCTGCGGGTGCACACTGGCGAGAAGCCCTACAAGTGCGGCGAGTGCGGCAAGGCCTTCAACCAGCGCACACACCTCACACGCCACCACCGCATCCACACGGGCGAGAAACCCTACAAGTGTGGTGCGTGTGGCAAGGCCTTCACCTGCCACTCATCCCTCACGGTGCACGAGAAGATCCACAATGGGGACAGGCCATTCAAGTGCAGCGAGTGTGAGAAGGCCTTCAACAGCCGCTCGCGCCTCACGCTGCACCAGAGGACACACACGGGCGAGAAGCCCTTCAAGTGCGCCGACTGCGGGAAGGCCTTCAGCTGCCATGCCTACCTCCTAGTGCACCGGCGCATCCACAGTGGCGAGAGGCCCTTCAAGTGCAACGAGTGCGGCAAGGCCTTCAGCTCCCACTCCTACCTCATTGTGCACCAGCGTGTCCACACGGGTGAGAAGCCCTTTGACTGCAGCAAGTGCTGGAAGGCCTTCAGCTGCCACTCATCGCTCATAGTGCACCAGCGCGTCCACACTGGGGAAAAGCCCTACAAGTGCCACGAATGTGGCAAGGCCTTCAGCCAGAACCACTGTCTCATCAAACACCAGAAAGTCCACTCCGGAGAGAAGCCCTTCAAGTGTGATGAGTGCGGCGAGATGTTCAGCTGGAGTTCACACCTCGCGGAGCACCGCAGGCTGCACAGCGAGGGGAGGTCTTTTGCCATCCAGCTCAACAAACACTTGCTGAGCACATACTATGTGCCCAGCAGCCTGCTGGGTGCAGGGGATATGGGGGTGAGGGACGTGGCCCCAATGGACACATTGGATGTGGCAAAGCTATTGTGTGTGGCTCAGCCCGCGGCTGGCAGGAAGTTCCCTCTGGGGAGCAAACCTCGCAGTTAACTGACGTGGTCTCGTGTTGGTGGCCACTTTCTGAGCTGCCCTATGAGAAACATGCTCCTGTTCCTTCTTGGCTCCTAGATCCAGGTGCTGGCTTCCCCAGATGCATGAGTCCTGCCTTATTGCCCCATCGGATCTCCATGCTTGGAGCTCCCCTGGAAGAGATGCGCTTTAGAAGGAGTGGCTTAAGGGCTATTCGCGGTAGTCCTGTCAACTGTTTGATGGGCCTGGAAGTCGTTGAGAAGGGGAGTAGATCTTTCCTGTAGATCAGAAGAAGCTATGTCACTGTGTCCTCGGACAAACTCCTGATGTGGGTTCAAGTGGGAATTTCCTCTGTAAACTTTTCAGAAGAATAGCAATAATAAAACAAAAAATATGAATAACATTACTTCCTGGTGAACATTATTATATTCCTGGTTGGAAGAATAATCTTGAATGGTGGGCATTTGGGAAAAAATGAATTTCCTGGACTTACCTCATGCAAATAGCTCTACTGCAGCATCGTGTGTTACTTACAACACAATTAGGAGTCTCCCCAGGGCCGAACGTGGCCCACTATCAGCGTAGCCAGGTCACAGCCAGCATCATGCCTTGCTATTTAGTCCCTGGTGGAAAGTTGGGAACACCCAAGGAAGATGGGCACAGCATTAGAATGGATGTCTGGAAGCTCCACTTCTCTGACTGAGGTGGGCCAGATGGGGCGGGGCTAACTGGGCTGGTGAGGCCCCCTTGCAGGGACCCTCCTGGCACCATATACCGAGGGACACCAGCCTAGCTCAGAGAAGAAGCCCCTCCCAGCACTCACTGGAGAGAGGAGCCATAGTCCAGGGCAACCGTGGACTCCATAGCTGTCCCCCTTGAGGCTGTTGCACAAACCCTGGAAAGGTGACCCTGCCCTGTTCTGATACTCTTGGCAGGGATAGGAAGGCAGAGTTCATCTGGAGTGAATATTATTTCTACTTAGTCCTAAGCAAGAATAAGCTGCCCTCTCGGTGATAATACTGTACATTTGAATAGAATGCTATAGTTTGTGACATGGTTTTAAATTATGCAGTCAAAATAGCCACACTTCAAAAAATGTGGGCTTCAAAAAATAAAATACCAATAATTCTTAATAAAACTGCATTACATACTTTGATACGTTACCCTCTGTCTGTTTCATAGTAGAGTCTTGCATTACTTCTAATATAGTGTATCTATCATTTTAATCTTTTTTACTTCTTAGCTGCATAGCAGAATTTTTTTTCCCCAAGTAATGGAATTGCCCTTGTAATTACGATCCTAAACAGAGGCACAGTGCTCTGTCGGGTCTATCAGATGCTCTTTTGTTGGATGTTGAAGTTATTTCCATGGCTTTCTTTATCATAAATTTTCGCTGAGCATCTTTTTGCATTTTACTGCTTTGGTGTTTCTTTAGATTTCCAGAAGTGAAACTTTGAGATAAAAGAAATAAACATCTTCAGGAGTTATTTTAGTAGGTTGTTGGTTTCATTTCATTATTAAGAAGTCAAATCACCAATAGTGACCAGACAGGAAAGTTCCCTGCTTTTCACCTCCTGTTAACAATTGGGCTTCCAGATGCCCTTTGCTCAGTGCTCGCTGACGACGTCTTCATGGTCCTTGGTGTGTGTTGTCCTGTTGCTTTCTTCAAGAGTGTCTGGGTACTGGCCTCACAGTATGGTCCCCAGGGCCACATCATGACAGTTGCAGGTCCCCAAAACAATAGGAAGAGTCATATTTTATTACTGCACTGGTAAAAGACAAATATTCATTATTGCTTCATTATTATCATATTCTGTTTTCTTAATTTAAAATAAATTAAAATTAAAATTTTTGGAGGTCTTGTACACTGTGCCTACTGTCTGCCCTGCAATACTTTGAATTCAATAAGCTGAATAATAAGTATCTTACTATTGAATAGTAATAGGAATAATCAGAATCTTCTTATTTTACTTTACATCTTTGATAACTAATGAGGTTAAATATCGGAGGTGTTTTTATTGTTGGCCTTTTTTAAAAAATATATTTGAATATGCCCTTTGTTCCTCTTTCCGTTGAAGTCTTGGTATTTTTCTTTTATTTACATATAAACACTTTCCCCTGGTTATATAAGTAATATATATATGTTGAGGACACTTGACAAATAATCACAAAATTATGAGAATAAAATAACCCTCAATATCAGTTATTGGATTGTTACCTGGAGAAAAGTACTATTGGCATTTTAGATGCATTTCCTTCTGGTTTGTTTCTATACATGTAAACATATGCTTCAGCTTTTAGAAGAAAGTAAGATTCGTACCCTATAGAATATTTTTATCCTTTTTCATTTAGCATTTTATGATAAATATTTTTCATGTTATGAAATATTTTTTGAAGACATGATGGATGGCCACATCATTTTTCTGTCTTATAGTTGTATCATGATTTGTCTGTTCTTCTATTGTTGAACATCAAACTTGCTTAGTCCATAAATAATTCTTGAACCTAAACCTCTGTGTCCATCTTTAATTATTTCCTCAGAATAAATTCTGAGAAGTGCAGTTACCAGGTGAAGGTTATGAACACTACAAGGTCATTGGTATTTCTAGGAGAGACCAACCTGATGGTGCAGTGTGAGTGCTCCTTGTCCACTCCCATGTACCCACATCTCCACGCCATGGCCAGCACAGGGACTACTTTGCTTTTTTTTTTTTAGCTAAGTGTGTCACTCTCTTGCCCAGGATGGAATTCAGTGGCACCATCATGGCTCACTGCAGCCTCAACCTCCTGGGCTAAGTTGATTCCTCCACCTCAGCCTCCTAAATAGCTGGGACTACAGTCTCATCCCACCACACCCAGCTAAATTTTTTTTTTTTTTTGCTAGAGTTAGGGTCTTGCTATGTTGCCCAAACTGGTCCCAAACTCCTGGGCTCAAACAGTACCATCTCCTTGGCCTTATATTTGCCATTTTGATGCATTATGAATATTATTTTCACTGTCTGTTGACCATTTATTTTTCTCTTCATATATATTGCCTTTGTCTGTCTTTTATCCACTATTCTATTTGATTTTTTCTGTATATATATATATATATATATATACATATATATATATATATACACACAGATGTACATATTTATACATATATATATACACATATATATATGTATATATATCCCCTTGGCATGTATATTTTCTATGTTTGTTACATTTTAATACACAGAGTTTTCCCAATTCTGTGTAATAAGGCCTATTAGATTTTTTTCCCCTTTGTCTCTTAGAAACCTCTTGCTTGTGTACTTTTTGGGTTCATTTAACTTTTAAATCATTCTTGAATTGTATTCCTCTGTTTCATAGAACTGTGTATCCTATTCTGGTCGCTTCTTAATTAACTTTAAATTTGGTAGCAGCAGGGCCACATTTTTAGTAGGTATTTAAAAAGTCTTTTTTGGCTGGGCTCGGTGGCTCAACCTGTAATCCCACGCTTTTGGGAGGCTGAGGTGAGTGGATTACCTGAGCCCGCGGGTTCGAGACCCGCCTGGGCAGGTGAGACCTCATCTCTGCAATAAATCAAAAAGAATTAGCCAGGCATGGTAGCGCGTGCCTGTAGTTCCAGCTACTTGGAAGGCTGAGGCGGAAAGATCGCCGGAGCCCAGCAGGTCGAGGCTGCGGTGGCCGGGAGCGGCCACTGCATTCCAGTCTGGGCGACAGACTGAGACTCCAACTCAAAAAATAAAAAATAATAAAAAGTCTTTTTTGGGCCAGGCACGGTGGCACATGCCTGTAATCCTAGCACTTTGGGAGGCCAAGACAAGAGGATTGCCTGAGCCCAGGGGTTCGAGACCAGCCTGGGTAACTTGGCAGACCTCATCTCTACAATAATTAAAAAATCAGCCAGGTGTGGTAGTGCGCCTATGGTTCCAACTACTTGGAAGACTAAGGCAGAAGGTCGAGACTGAGCCCAGCAGGTGGAGACTGCGGTGGCCATGCGTGTGCCATGCACTCCAACCTGGGTGACAGAGTGAGACGTAGGAGTCATTTTCTCCAAATACACCTTCTTCATGCCCGTGCATATATCATTGGGACTCTGATTAGACTTGGCTTTGTAAGGATTTAATATCATTTTACATTAGAAGTCTTCACATCAAAGGACATGGTAGATAACTATTCAAATCTACTTCTAGCCACCAGGAAAGTTGTCCTTTTTTTTCCACATGTTCTTACATACATTCTTAAATTTATTCTAACTTTGTGGGGTTTATAGCGAGTCTTTCCATATGAGATATATAGGAAAAGTATTGACTGTCTATTTTGTTTTGTTTTTATGCTTAGAAACTTTACCAAGTTATTCTAGAAGGTGTCTCGCAGTTAATCAATTTACTGGATTTTCCAAGTAAACAGTCAAATTACTTGGAAATAAAAAAACCTGCCTCTCTTTTCTTTTTAAGAGAACTGGTCTCTTTCTTTTTTCTTTTCTTTTTTTTTTTTTTTTTTTAGTTGGAATCTCACTCTGTCGCCCAGGCTGGAGTGCAGTGGCACACTCACGGCCACCCCAGCATCGACCTGATGGGCTCCAGTGATCCTTCCACCTCAGCCTTCCAAGTAGGCAGAACTACAGGAGTACACTACCACTCTCGGCTTGTTTTTTGATTTGTTGTAGAGACGAGGTCTCACCAAGTTGTCTGGGCTGGTCTCGAAAGAGCTCAGGCAATCCACTCGCCTCAGCCTCTCAAAGTGTTGGGATTACAGGCTGAGCCACCAAGCCTGGCCGAGACCCTATCTCTTAAAAAAATATTAAAGAGTGAACCCAGGAGTTCACTCTGGTTTTGCCTGGAAACAAACCACCAGTGGCTGAGGTCTTCCTCCTGCACCCAGCAAGGAGGGCTGAACCCAAACTCAGCGCCCACCAGCTGGCTGAGCTCCATTGATGTGATTGCTCTGCTTGCTCCAGAAAAAAATAACAAAGAAGGCAGGGCCCTGGTCTCCCCCAGAATGTACTATAGAGGCTGGGCAGGAATCCATAAAAGACCTCCTACAATATGGAGTGTCTGCGATGAGATGTGCTAGATCCTCTCACTTTCTAAGCTTCTAATTGTCTGAATTATTAAAATGGCAAGCATTGGTACTTTTGTAAGCACTACAATAAGCAATTTCCATTTTGGAAAATGAAGCATAGTGTCCTTTGTTGTCTCTGTGGCGGCACTCCAGAATGGCATGACTTTTCCCATCTGGACCAAAGCCATGACGTGACTGAATTGGGGAGTAGGGTGTGTGAGGCCTGGGATAGATGGAGCCAGGTGTCAGCCACACCCACTCCAGGTTTCTGGGCTTGGATGTCTGCCCACTGTGTTCCTTGCCAGCTTGCTTCCAGGTGGGTTATGCCAGAGGGAACTCAGGCAGAGACTG